TGCAACTGTCACCTCATTTGCAAAGACAGACAAGTCCCTGGTGAAATGCCAGATCGGTCACACTCATTTCATGGCTCATTAATGCAATTATGCAGCCTCTATGTGTTGATATAATAATATGTTTGCGAGTGTGTATGTGTGCGCTTTTCTCATGGCTAATAGTGACAATACAGGACGATGACAATTACTGCTACTTTATTCCCCCCACCCTGAGTTTAAGGACGCTTAAGGATAAAGGCTCAACTGTGGGTCAGAAGAGAGCAGCCACAGATCTGAGAGTTTAGAGGCTTGAAGCTTTGAACGAGGAAAAACAAAACCTCTGACCCTGTCGGATCGGTGTTCAGTTCAACAGCAGAGCAAAGTGGCTCTTTACTCTCGCTGTTGTTTGTGTCACTGAGGAAGTGCAATAGCTAAGATCAGGTCAAGGACAGAAGAAAAAAAGAGTTAAAGACATGGAATAAAGCGGAAAAAAAGGGGAGATGGATGTGAGCAGAGAAAAAAGAGGAGGGATAGTGAAAAGTAAAAGGAGAAACACGAGGGTCAAAAACACACACACACAGCCTCTGAGTCGGCGCTCTGTATCCATCCTATTAGTTAATGTGTCACTCTAACGCCAAGCAGGCAGTGACAATGAGTTCCACCAGCACACACACACACACACACACACACACACACACACACACACACACACACACCAATACTAACACTGACTAACAAGGCTGCACAGAGAAGAGGGAGAAAAGAGACAAAAACGTAGGGGAGGACAGGAACCCATCTGATAAATCACTGATAGGAAAAGAGCAAAGAGCAATAATGGAGGGACTCACCATTACAGAGAGGATGAAAGAAAAGAGAGGGTTATTATTAAAGAGATGGAGATGGGAAAAGAGGCAGATATAGTCAAACGATGAGACAGCTGGAAAAAACATGGAGCTGATAAAACGTCAGGAAAAAATGAGGAGATATGAAGGTGAAATGACCTGCTGCAGGTGCAGCTTTCATAATACCTGTCTAAATAAATAACTCACTGCCGCAAAATGACAAACAATCACATCTGATTGATAACAGTCCCTGTGGTGTGTGAAATCTGTAATAACCTCATCAGTATGTTTCCCCTTAGGTTTCAGAGCTTGAAGAAGGCTGACAAACACATCACATCGGCGCCATCTGTCACTAAATAACTGCTGGGCCAAATGGGAGCGATGGGACGAAGTGAGGGGAGAGGAGATCCGGCCGTATGATCGTTTTAGTTATTGAAGCAGGCAGCTTTAGGCAGTAGACTAATGAGCTATTGGACGAACAGAGTCATAGGCAGGTATTGAGCTCGTAAAGTAGGTTTATGTGCATATGGGCAATGTTGGAGCAGAGCCTCCAACCTCACACAAATATGAGCAAAACTCAATTTCCTGCCAAAATGACACAGAAGCACATGGGTGAGTAAACTCGCACCATGACTGTACAAAAACACACAAAAAGACACTGCTACAACAAACTCTGTAAAATGAAGTCCTCTTCTTCTAGCTTGGTCTGTATGTGCAAATGTATGCTTATCTAATATCTTTGTAATATGGTATTTGTAGTTAAACTATTTCTTCCATTTAAGCAAATACCAAAATGTAGCACAAAACAATTATTAAGTAAGTAAGTAATATAAGTAAAAATAATGAAAACATTTAAAGGGCCAGTGTGTAGGATTTAGGAGGCTCTATTGGCAGAAAATGGAATATAAAATTCATAATTATGTTTTCATTAGTGTGTAATCACCTGAAACTAAGAATTGTGTTTTCGTAGCTTAGCATTCGCAGCCTTTAATTAGCCCTTCACATCTACATAGAGAGCCCACCATGTTGCACCGCCATGTTTCTACAGTAGCCCAGAATAGACAAACGAAATACTGGCTCTGGATAAGGCCTTTTGTGTTTTTATGTTACCTGAAGGCCACCGTAGTGTCTCCTACATGCTTGGACAGGGGAGGGGTATTTAGTTGGTTGCAATCTGCAACCTCGCCACTAGATGCAAATAAATCCCACACACTGGTCGTTTGACTGAGAGAATGAGTTTTTCCCAAATAAATGCTAAAAACTCTTCCAAACTTAACAATTATGGATCAGGTATTGGTGAAATGGCACAATCCACAATAACTCAGTGTCATTACAAAATTCACTCACTCAATCATTGAGTCACAACAGGCTCCAGACTCAGATTTTAGTGCCCCAGAAATCCCCAGGGCTCATATTATTTTACATAAAAGAAGGTTCCCAATGACAGATTTGACAGTCGAGATTTACATTTGAGTTTGAGGTATCACAATCAGCATGAGTATCAGTATGAACAGGTTGCACTGGCACATTCCTATTTAAAATCCAACAATCATGTCAAGAAAGCCTTGACACTGGATTTTGTTTAGATACATAATGTCCATGTAAAGTTTGACTGGCCTTGCCGTCACATAGTTAGGCCCCTACCAAGGGACCACGTTGACTTGGGAGACCCTACCAGGAGCCGTTTCCCTGGCAACATAGGGCACCTAAATCCCCACCACTATAAGCATACGACTCCTGGAGAGACTCAAATTTCATTCAAAACTAGAAGAAAAAAAACAAAGACTATACAGATAGAAAATGAAGCACCAAACCAGCAGTTGTACGACCTGTTTCTTGCCACAAATGAATTCAAAACCCGGTTGTACAAAATGTTTGAAAATGAGAAAGCACAAAACCAATGTTAGTCCAGCAAGGGTATTTGGAAGCAATAAGACGTGGGTTCATGCAATCAGCTGAAGGGTTCAAAGTGATGTCTGAGTGAAGGATCCCATTTAAGATGTTCTGTCACAAGTTCATTCATCAATGGCCCTACAATGAGCAAAGTAGAAAGTGTGGTATAACTTTTCACTGAGAACATCTTTAATGTCAAACTCAGTGTTGGTAGAAACACCACATCTCAGCAGTGTCATTTGCACAAGGTTTAACATTTCCCCAAGTTGATGCCTGAACACATAGAGCTGAAACAATTAGTAAATTAATTGATAATTTATCAAAGAACAAACAAAATTTGCTTCTTCCAGCTTCTCAAATGTGAGCATTTGATACTTTTCTTTGTTTTCCATCACTGTAAATGAAATATCTTATTATCAGACAAAGCAAAATGTTTAAAGATGTAATTGTGGGTCCTGGGAACATGTTATGAGCATTTTCTCTACAATTGATCAAAATAACTGACAGATTAATCAGTACTGAAAACAAGAATTAGTTGCAGCCCTTGCCCATTGCAATACACTATTTCAGAGCTGTTATACAATTGCACATGCCTCATACAGTGTGCTGTTATGAAGTGTGTTCCAGACCCACGGAGACATCTCCATGAGATTCAAAAAGCTGCATTAACTTGAGGCTTTAAACGGAAAACAATATTAATCTAGTGCTGATGGGAAAAAGCTGTCTGTGACTTGCAATTTACTTCAATTTTATTTTGGTGTGGATCACCTGAAATTGGCTCTGGCTGGATCCGCTCCAGCTGCCTTTTCTCAGACATGAAAGATGTGATCAAAAATAATAAAAGAAAATAGAATCAGCAGCTGACATAACATTTCTGTTGACCCCACACGGTTTGGTTGAATATTGGTTGAGGTTTCTCACCAAAGCTGGTGAGGAAGATTTAGGCTATTTCTGTCTCTCTGACAACTGCATCTTTCTTGCACTGTGAGAAGGCAGCATGGCAGACTGGAGACACGCCTCTGCTGAACACACACACACACACATAATTGGCAGGGCTGGGTTGTTTCCCTAGAGGCCAATTCATATCTTCACTGAAAACTGAGGAGCTGTAAATTGTTTCCCCTCTCTGTCCTCAACTTAACTGCCAATTACCCAGATCTGACAATGACCACTTTACCCCTCACACATATACAACAGCCTATATCAAGCTCAAATCAGCATTCCTATGGAGGATAATACTCAATGACTCTTCTGTATCTCTGTCAGACCAAAAATAGTCATGAATCAGTCATGAATCCTCCAAATTCAACAACAAATGGCTTTAAACATCAATTATAAAATTGTTTAAAAACTATTTGGTGTGTGTGTGTCTACAATCATAACCAGATCAAAATGTAAAATCCAAAGATTTCATTTTCATGATTACAGAATGTGGGATTGTTAATCTGATTAATTTATGTCAGAATGAACTCCATTTTCTCTCACAGAGCCCTGATTAAATGTAAAACAAATTGTTAGAAATGGACAAATCATTGTGCTGGGTGTGGGTGGTTAAGGGTTTTTTTTTTTCTTTTTCGGATAGGACCGTCTGTGACGCGCAGAGGATGGACATTTAACAGGTGGAATGAGCGAGCTGGGACCAATTTACCACTGCAATCACATAACCTCAGTTCAGGCCTGATCGATCAGAACACACACACACACACACACACACACACACACAGATGACATATTTACACACAGGATACACAATTTGCAATTTAACTTTATCTGGATTACTATTGTAGTCTGTCTGATTACAGAAAATGTTAAAATTTAACACTGAATATGAACCGAATGACCTTATAAAATGAAATACCATTAAGGGCCAAGTGTATCTTTTAACTCCCTCTCGAGTCCCAGAGACATCCTCCAATAACCTATAAATTGCCTGAGGAAGACAAACTGGAGGGTCAGAGTGATTATTCGCTGGGAGAAAGAGGAAGAACGACTTTTACTTTGATTAAACATCTGAAATCATTTATCTCAGCTGCCTTTTCTTCTTCTTCTTCTTCTTCACACGCACTGTAAAGCTTGAGAGCGATATCCGCCTGTAGCTGGTGATAAAACACAAAATTTCAGCCTCCATCAGAGCCGAGTCACAACTGTTGCTCAATCAGCGCGCCCGGCTCTGAGGGTCTGAGCTTCCTCAATCCGCTTTTATATCATCTGAAAGCGAATTCACAGAGCATCTATTCACAGAACAGGTGGCTGCGAACCAGTGAAAAGAATCAAACAGAAACTCACATGTTTAAGTTCTTGCATTCGGTCCTTCATGGTTCCCTGTTTCTCCGGTAAATCACTCTTGGTCTGGATGCGTGTGGCGATGGAGCGGCGGGGCGGAGACCGACTGGATGATGTGAGACCGACCGAGGCGAGGAGGCGCGTCTAGCCGTGGTGAGAGGCGGTGATTATCCCTTCCTTTGGTTTGGGTGCTGGGATGGTGGGACCACTTTACAGAACCGGGTGACGCGCACGAAAGGTGAGGCGAGGCCTTCCGCCGTTAACCCATTACACACCCGCAACTTCCTCCTCAATCCGCACTAATTGACCTTTATTTTTTATTTATTTTTTATGTTTTTGTAAACGTGAGTCAGTTCTCCAAGTTTCTTTTAGCTATGTTGACGTCTGTCTGACTGACTGAAGACTAGATTTACAGAGAAATGACCACCCCGGAGAGGTCGGTTGGCTGAGTGGTGAAATTGTGTTGGATTTGGTTATTGATTGAGCAGGTTCAGAGATAACGCCCAGGTGGTTTGTATTGTGCCAAAGCGCACAGCGACCTCTGTCGGAAGGATGACGTGCAGACTGGTTTGGAAGAAGCAGAAGACCTCAATGATCCGGAAATCTTGTGCAAAAACCAGAATTTTAGACTTTAAATTGCAAATACACTAGTGTACCTTATACATCTGTCTGACATTAGTTTTTTTTTTTAAAGCCCTGAATGTGATGATGCAGTTGGAACAATTATATTACCTTATTAATAGCCTTTCTCCTTTAAATGGTGGTAATGTGCTGCTCTACTGATAAGAATGATCCACATAAAACATCACAATACAAGAAGTTGTTTGGCAGTATAGATAGTCTATGTCATTTTATTCTATTTTACAGTTCTACTTACTGTATCTCCTCTTTTTATAATTTTCATTAATTTAATGAACTGCCAGCTTGTTCAGGAACATCATACACAATTACACACAAGTATTGTATATGCACTACATGTGTCATTTTGCGTATCCCCTTTACAGAATAGTTTTTGTAGCACTGGATTGTGAGACTGAAGTTTCACAAATTCATGGAAGTTGTTCAATTTCTTTTACATGTTTTACATTCTGGACAAAAATTATAAAATAAAATCAATAAATCAATAAAAATCTCTCTTTTTTTGTTTAGTTTTAATTGAGAAAATATTGTAGATAAAACAATAAACGGCTGATCAGAAATGGAGAATGACATTTCATAATCTATAAAAATTCTATGTCACCAGTGGGCAGTGCATGTCTGCACACGTACTTGGTATGTTCCAGCTGACAAGAACACGGAGAGTGCCATCTTACCACCGTGTGAAGACTCAACCAAATATACAAAAATGATTGACCGTAATAGCATTTCACTCTCTCTCATCCACTTGAATTAAAGAGTTGAGCCCAAACACTCTGCAGCTCCAGAGGTGGCTGACTGTGTGCGGCGCAGACGAGTGCCAATGAAGGCACAGCTGCATGAGTCAGAGCTAGAAATGAGGTCTCCTCTGACGTCCAGTGTATTTTGTGTCGGCTCTAACCTCCCTGCAGGCCATCAAACACACGGCAGAGAGAAAGAGAGGGAGACAGAGAGAGAGAGAGAGAGAGAGAGAGAGAGAGAGAGAGAGAGAGAGAGAGAGAGAGAGAGAGAGAGAGAGAGAGAGAGAGAGAGAGAGATAACATTACAAAACACAACTAATCAGATTATTCAATTTAAGATCAATTTAAAATCATATTGCATTATTTAGAACATGAATATTTCAGCACAAGATAATGAATAAATCCATGTATTTGTCATGTACATACCGCCCCTGTCTCCTCCTCCTCTCCTTCTTCTCCAAGATCCAATCTCGTCCCTTCTTCGCTGATTTGCCTTTCATGTTTTTGAACCGACATCTTCACAAAAACAAAGTGTAGCTGATTAGCTTTACGAAAAAAACTCTGATGCAAAAAGTTTCACGCATCCAGTCTCTCTGTATAACCATGAAGAGAGACTTGAACATTATTATGTGAAAGGGAGGAAAACCTGCCTGACAGAGTTTTAAGTCAGGCAGGACAACGACCCTTTTAGATTTCTCTTGGTCTTTTGGCTTCGTCAAGACAGGTATGACTGAACCTGCACTTATCAACACCAAGACCGGCTTACTCTGCTAACTGCGAATAATAAACTGGAAGATTTTTAAAGGGTTGTTTTAATACAATTGAATAACAAAATTGGGACTATCCTGATAAAAATAAATTAGAGCTGCAACTAATAATAACAACAATCTTTAAGATGTTAACAAATTGAGAATGAAAATGCTTTTCAGTTTCCTAGAACCCAATGTTTCACAACACCCAATGTTCAAATTACTTGTGCTGTCCAGATAACAATCCAAAAAACATTCTGTATACTATCACACAAGAAAAAAAGAAATAAGAGAAGCAGCATATCCTTGCATTTGAGAAGATGAAATGAGCAAATATGAACAGTAATACAATCGTTTCAGCTCTATGATACAGTCATCATCCAAGTAATATCATTCAGTTAATCCCACTACTATTCTAATAAATCTTTAGATATATTTGGTTGGATAAATAGTCAATAAATAAGAAACCTTTCTTTTTAGAGTAGTAGTAGAGCCAGTGTGTGACTCTCTTTACCTTTGTCCTGAATACTGGACCTGGTTTGAAACAGCTTTGTCTGAAGTTTCTGATCCTAATCCCTGAAAAGAACAAAAAGAGAGCAGTTTCCGTAATGTAGCTAAAACAAATCAAACAGTCCACAATATCCACTGATGCTAACTCCTGCGTTTCTTACTTTGGGAAGGACTCCTGTAACTCCAGCGAAAAGACACAAGAAGAACCTGGAAATAAACAAAGTGTGAGTGCGTGAGAGAGAAAAGTTAAATCAGGCAGATCATTTTAATGATCAATAATTCATCACAAGACTAATGTGACAATATGTGAGTCAATATGGATGCCGTCCTGTTCTAATTAGTGTTGTGTAGTGAGTACACTGGTACTAATTTCACAGGCTATTAGCAAGGAATCAATTGTGGATGGCTGCAGCTCAACATGTCAAAATAAAAGCCCCGCTTCTGATAGGTACTGACTTTTTAGCTTTGCTGCTGTTGGGGTAGTCCACCACCATGCCTCCACTGAAACCTGCCCTCATGGCCTGCGATGTGATCAGCTCAAGCTTTAGAGAGGGAAGAAGAAGACCGAAGGTAAATTCAAGAATCCGGAGAAAACTTTAGATTTTACATCCACAGTGTATTTTCACCTGTTCTGAGTTCTCTGGATAAAGCTGAAAAACTGCACGTGAGCCTCTTGACTGAAAGACAAAGAGCAGGGAGAAGTAAGTAAATGTATTCACGGTACAATGTGGTACATGGATGTTCCGATTTTTGTCAAAGAAGTCAGCAAGAGTGATAAAAACCTACCAGAGAAGAGTAGAGAGTAGTAAAGAAGGTATAGAGTCTCTTTGGAGGACTATGTGTCCTCTTGTCGGCATTACAGAGCCACTGCAGGGCAGAAATACTGACGGGGAATAACACATAAATGAAAAACGGAGTCAGAAATTAATCCTGGGAAAATGTTTTTTCTTTCTTTCTTCTTTTTGTTTAAACACAAGCACGCTCTCGTTTTTCACCTGATGCAACCGTCAAAGGTGCCGGGTCGGAAAGGCATCCCCTGACCCATGTCCCCCAGTAAAAGGTCTCCTTCTACTTCTCTGTCCAGTGCAACATCTGTCACAGGAAGACAATTACATTTGATCAGTGTTTCAGATCGCCTTTTAAACTGAATCTATAATTACACAAACAAACCCTGAAAAAATACATGAGAAACTATACTTATTTTGCGAGCGATAAGACAGAAATCTCTGCTTTAATCACTATTATATTCTGCATTTTGTTTGGTTAAATGTAGCAGTGTCAGACTAACCCAGCATTGCGTTGCTGATGTCGACTCCTACCCAGTAGTGTCCCTCCTCTGACAGGTAGTCTCCACTGAGACCAGAGCCACACCTGAGAGACAGAGGACACACATACAAGGTCACTGTGTAATTCTGGATCTTACAAGGTCTTATGTTAAAACTTAGAATAACAAAATATCACGCTGGTGACATTCAGATGAAGAGATTCTCAACCACCACCAGATGTTTACTGTCATCACTTCAAACATAGCTTTTTCATAGTCCCCTTTTCAGACTGTAGAAAAACCACCACTTCCCTGTAGTGTCATTACATCAGACAACCTACAACTCCATCTTTCTATCATGTTGCTACGGTCGTGGTATGTGGAAAACCACTGTATTTAGAGAAGTTATTTTTACAACTATTGACGTAGAAACAGAATGGTGTGTGTTAACCACAGCTTTACACGGGGTGATGCACCCACAATAAGAAAACACTATGAATTGCTTGACAAGATTATGTTTACTCTGAGATCTTATCTATGTTCATCTTAACAGAAAAATTTGTATTAGCATGGAAATTTTTCTTAATCAGATTAATAGTGCCGTCACTATTAAACATAGTAAGTGTCACTCACCCCACGTCAAGCAGGAAGCATGGCTGTCCCTCCGGCAGGTTCAAAAGCTCGACAGCTCTCTCTGACATCTGGGTCTGGATCTCAATCATCCGAGAGCTGTGAGACAACAAAATCGTTTAAAATGTAAAGACATTCTCACATGAAATTAAACCTTTACATGTTGCAAACTGTCAGATTTGGTGTTGGATTTAGTAATCTCTCTGCAAGCTCCACAGCAAGTCTGCAGAATGACACAGGGAATACTGCAGCTGGTTACTGACAGTCCAGTACAAAATACTCAAGCTGCACAACACTAAAGAAACAACATATTGAATGAGAGCTACAACTAATGATTGGTTTCATTATCAATCACTCTTTGGATATTTTTCTCAATTAATCATTAATTGTTAACTCTTAAGCATGAAAATATTAGAAAATTATGACATGTCCATCACAAGATCCCACAGCCTGACATCTTCAAATGTCTTACTTTGTCCAACCAACAGTCCAAAGACCAAAGAGATTCCACTAACAATGACATACAACAAGGAAAACCAGCAAATACTCGCATTTGTGAAGCTGGGACCAGAGAGCATTTGGAGTACTGGCTTAGAAAATTTACTTTGTTGATCATCAAAATAGTTGCCCATTGATTTACTGCATATTGTCTCATTGTTGCAATGCTCTGTTTGTTGGCTCGGTTTTATTCTCTCCTAAAATAACTTACATAGAACACACTTTTCCACATATTAAAACAAGCAAATAAACAAAAGCATGTTTCAGTCCAATGGAAAACATGGACATGCAGAAAATGAAACAAACAAAATAAAACAAACTAGAACATAACAACCAAAGTGACACACATAAAATTCAAGCATGACACAGGATAAAAAAAACATTTAACATACATTATTCTATTATATACATCTCTTATTTTATCCATGTGGACTGTATAACAGAAACAGCTCTCTGTATAAGGCAATACAGTTCAACGGCACCACAGACTACATCCTCCAAAATGATCACACAGTTCAATCAACACCTCTCCATAAAAATGTTTTATTATTTATCTTACCCTCATTGATATAAATAAGGTGGACAAAACAATAGGAACACCAGTCAGTTGAATCAATACCTCTCTTCAAACATTTTAAACAAAAACTGAACATCACAACCCAGATGAAGGAGGATTTATTACAGGACTGTTGTACTACACTACATTAGTTTTAGCTTTATGCACCTGATAATCTGCCAACTAAGTACATGTTAATATTTACTTCACCTTTAACACAGCGATACCACGGTGAACATATGTACATCTATCAATATTGTACTTTAACTCCAAGACACAGTGAACAGTGCAACATCCAGACTCACTTCTGAGAGTATTTCTTTGCCTCCTCTTCATTGTAGAACTGCGGAGATGAGAGCACATGATTAAAACCTCAACACACTGCTGCTGCTAACGTCAGACCACCACTCGGTATGTGATATGTGATAGTTAAAGGTCGTTAAATGTCCAAAATACAGCAGCTGAGGCAAAACGTTAGCCTAGCAGCTACAAAAACACAATAAACCGAGCGACTCACCACATCTGGAGGAGCTGTGTGCTCAGGCCGTCGACAGCTGGATGCCATGGTTCTCCCTGTGCGCGTGTCTGTGTCTGAAGACGAGTAAATAATTTGTAATATCAGGTTATAAACAAGCTAAACGTTGTGTTGGCAGCAGCCAGTCCACATGTAAAGCTTCTCCCTCGTCGATTTTAACACGCGCAGGCCAGCGTAAATACACGATTATATCGCCACCTACTGAGCAAAACTCACGTTACAGGGTGCTTCAAACAGGACAGCAAAATAAATTCCAGTGAAGTTGCAATGGTGTTAAGAGAAAATAAATGATAATAAAAGTTAAAAGGGGATTAAAACTTAAATAGATAGACAAAAAAATGTATATTAAATGTGATTTAATATGCTGTCATATCTTACATAGGTTCAAGGCATTTTTACACTTAAGTGCAGTTTGAAATTATTTTCTAAAGGTGAAAAAGTTGTCCTTGAATTTCATGGCCAGAATATACTTTAGAGAATCTATGATAAATTCTATTTAAATCCACTTGTTATCCAATACATTACAACGTAACCTTTTCCCTGCAAAATTATTGGTCGACTACAAGTACTTCCTGTAAACATTGGCTCTTACTGGTTCCTGGCTGTATGACGTTTCCGGATGCTGCAGCTGTTTTCCGGGCTGTCCACCGGCCCGTTCTTCTCGGTGAAATGGCAGAGGTCGGTCAGAGGCTGGGGAGCGGAGTTTACCGACTGTCCGCCCTCAGGAACAGCCAGAGTCGGCCGGTGAGCGCCGGTGAAAGTCCCGGATCTCTGCTGGTAAACTGCTCCTTCATTGACAGCCGCGTTAAAGAGGAATCAGCCCGGGACCAACGTGAAGTTCAGCCAGTGTCAGAAAGCAGAGCAACACAACGCAAACCAGAGAAACTTTCCAGAGGGAGGAAAAGTAAACGTCAACAGGTAAATGGAAGTTTGCTTTGTGCCACGTCTTTGGAGCTGGATTCATCCCGTTTTATCGGGTTTGTTCAAACCAGAGAGAGCGTCCAAGCTCATAAAACAGCCCTGTACTTAGCTGCAAGACTGCAGCCTCTCCTCCAGGAGAAGCTGCCACTCTGCAGGATGACATGCTGGACCAGAGGAGCTATTTCCATACACCCTGACACCTTCAGATCCCCTCAGCAGCTCCGAGCTCTCTGCACTGTTGTCTTCATTCTGGCAGATCAGGGATCAGAGAGGCCAGGATGTGGACAGAGACTGAGACAGCTGAAACTACAACCTGATCCATTTACAGCAACTAGAAACTACTGCTGGAGGAGTGATGGGAGCTCAAAAGATGCTCCTCTGCTGTACAGAAGCAGGACGGCCTATTACGACATCCTCAAAGTGTCCCCAGGTGCCACACAGTCCCAGATCAAGACGGCCTACTACAAGCAGTCCTTTATTTACCACCCTGACAAGAACCCAGGGAGCAAGGAGGCCACCCAGCGCTTCTCTGAGATCAGTGAGGCTTACACCGTGCTGGGTAACATCAGCCTGAGGAGGAAGTACGACCGGGGCATCCTGAGCCAGTCAGATATCAGAAGTGCAGGGAGACCGTCCTCCAAAGAGACCACGAGCAGATCCACAGGCTCCCAACAGCAGCAGCAGCATCAACAGAGAGCCAGACGGTACTCCCAAACAGGCGGGAGGCCCATGTTTGATTTTGATGCCTTTTATCGGGCTCACTATGGGGAGCAGCTACAGAGAGAGAAGGACATGAGGGCCAGGAAGGAGCGCATGCAGGAGCAGCAGAGGGAGCAGCTGAGCAGGTGGAGGCAGGGGAAGATGATGGAGGTGACTGTGGCGATGCTGCTGGCCATGGCAGGGCTGATATTTGTGAATCTCACCAGGCCCTGAAATAGAAGCAGCTACCAGATGTGATCCTATGGGGTTACATGTTACGACTCTCAGGGCGGGAGGAGACGGAGGGGGTTGGGGTGCTACCTCGGACTGTTTTGCATGTGTTGCACAATTTCTGACAGTTGCAGAGGATTATTTTAGTTTGTTGCAGGAGTAGACAAAGACTGTCTCTCTAAAGCAGCAGTTAGGCTTTCATTCATAATATGTAGCTGATAATATTAAAGGATAAGGTCACTATTTTTCAAGTTTGTCTTAAAAAAATAGTCAGGTGCCCATATGAGCATTGAATCAGTTTATGCATACTGTCATCTAGGGGTGGGTGATATAATGAATATACTCCAAGTATCGTGGCTTGTTCCACATGGGATGTAGTAGATGATTATATCGTAACATTGATTACAAATTGGCAAGTAATTGTTTTAAGCCGCAAGAAACAAGAAAGTGTATTCTTCTTGTATACACTTTCTTGTTGCTTTGAGCTCAGTTTTTGTTAATTGCTAATTTAACTTGGTAATTTAACTTTTCCCCTTTTTGAATGCAATTTTTTTGAATTGTTCCAAAAGAAACCCCTGATATATATTCAGTAAACAAGAATGTTTTGACAAATGTTGCACCATCATACTGGTGTGATTGTATGCATCAAAGGGTTAAATCGTGCATTTATGAAGTGCTTTAAAGGAGATTTCAAAATATTGAGATATATATCATGTATCACAATACAGCCTAAAAATATAGCAATATTATTTATTGTTTATATTACTGTAATTTCTCCTATTCACACTGGCTAATAAGAGATCCCCTCCTAATGTGTTTTCACTGTCAGTGATGGAGGACAAAATCCCACCCATGCATAAATGTATTCCAAAGTTTATTTGCAGCTAATTTGAGGCTTCAGCAGTCTGTGTTAGACAAATCATATGTATATCATCCAGAGTTACAGCCTTTTTTAGCAGCTCACTATGGAAACAAAAAGTACGACAAATACCGTAACTTTGGAAGTTATCCACTTGATCTGTCTAACACAGACTGCTGAAGCCTCACGTAACCATCAGATAAACTTGGGAATATGTTTTATCCCAGAATAAGGTCTGTGGATTCTGCCCCCCATCACTTACATAGCGTAGGATCTGAAAGACATAAACAAACTTTACACTTACCTATAAAGGTGTGACCTCTTAAAAAAACCTGTAATTTCAAGTAGAAATTGGAAATCTGTGAGCCACATAGCAAAATGTGGAAGTATGATTCGAGCATATAGCTCTTTCAGGAATCTCAAAATCACCCAGTGAAAGGGTGATAAGATATCATATTTCACATTTCATGGTTTTCTGACATTTTATTTATTATAAAATTGGTAAATGCTCATTTGCCCAGATGTTGCAACGTCTGCAGGAGAAAACCAGAGAATCTGATGTACATGCACATGATGGATTAGTCTTTGTACTGTCAACAGTTATTCTACCAGTTGTGAAGCTGCTGTGTTAACCTGTTAATTAACTATCTATTAGTCGTGGCAAGTTTGAACCCAAACAACTTTTTTTGACAGCTTTCATAGATTTTTTCTGTCCATCCAAACACTGCACAAATATGGGAAACTGAAACTTTACATGCTGAACAACACACGGTTCCTCCATCTTTCCCTATACACTGGTGCTGTAATGTAGAGAATTACTTTAAGTGTAGGATTTGAAGATAATTTGCTATTACACATGTTTAACTGTATATGTGTATGTAATGTACATACAGGACGCCACATCGTGTTTGATATATCATTAGAAATTTTTGAATTGTTTATTTTATGTACAGGAAGCTGTATTTGAGCAAATATAATAAAATAACATTAATTTTCTTTGTTTCATTTTAGTTTTATTCATCAGTGATCATAAATAAATATGTAGCTGTAACTGCCCAGCATTTCTTTTTCTGCAGCAATATAAGAGCTGACCTCTAGAGGGCGTCTGTGCACATCAAACTGATCTCTGGGTTACAGCTGGAGGCCTGAGGGGCAGAATGAGTCTAAACTCAGTGTGGGGTGATACTGACGCTTGTCCTGGCCGTCTCATGACAGTGTGTCGATTTATTTCCCTGAAAATAAAACAGATTAGAAACGTGAAACTTGGTCAATGTCGGGGATTATGTCATCAGTCTTTAAACTGACTGAAGTCGTCAATACAAGTCAAACTATGCTCTTTGAATCTGAATGTATAACAATCAAAAGTGTTTTTGCGTTAGTGCATATTTATGGAACATAGGCTGACTATGTTTTTTTTAACGCGACCTGAAACAACAGAAAACCACATGACATGTCCACAGAGCGATGACTATGTTTGCAACATTAAAGCTCTTGACTTTTCTGAGCCTTTAATCTCCACCATTTCAGCCTGAACCCGCAGACTGTGACATTTATGAGCGAATAACGGCAGAGAACATGTAATAGTCTGTTCACATTTTATTCACAGAAATATAAAGTAGTATGTCAAGTACATCACTTTGTACAAAATTGCACAGACTCTTCAAAACTCAGTCAGACAACAGAAAATTCAGCCTTAAGAGGTGTTAAGAAAATAAAAGGGAGACATGAGCAAATCTGTGATATGTGAAAGGGGCTGTTGCAACAGACAGGTTCCACTGAGGATGTTTCATCAAGAAGAATCAACCAATTGTACATAAATAAGACTCAATAGGAAAAATGTCATTTACAACGGCTGAGGAATAAATATGTTTCAAAAATAGGATTCAAATTGGCACATGAACTGATCCATCCGCTCCTCGACTGAAATTGAAATTTCACCTTTGAGGCTAAATGGCCATGCTTGACAAGACGGATGTTGAGTCTTGATATGTTTATTACAACTGAATAAAAGTGTTGCATATGTTCTAACTACAGTAGCTGTTTGATGTTTTTCTGCTGTGTATTTTTATGTTTTCAGGTGTATCTAACATGGATTAAAGGAAGGAAAAGTTCAACATTTTGGGGATTATGATTATTTGTTGTCTTGCTGAGAGATGGATGAGTTAATTGATAGCACTCTAATATCTGTTCGGCAAATATGAAGCTACCGCTTCAGCCTCGCATAAACACTGGAAACAGTTAACCTGGCTCTGTCCAAAAATAACAAAATCCACCTACTAGCACCTCTAAAGCTCAGTAATTAACACATTATTCTTGTTTGTTTAATCAGTGCCGAAATAAAAATGTAAAAATGACAAATCACTGTTTTACAAGGAAATATATATGACGTACAGGATCAGTAATTTCTTGGAGTCTCCGCTGGCTGCTTGGCAACTTGTCCCAACCAAGAAATCTGTCTGGCACATAACCCCCCATAAAATGGTTGTTTGTTGTTTTTACACTTTTTACACAGATTTTTATACAGACATGTTAATCAGTGAGCTTTAGATGTGCTGGTGGACAGATTTTCTGACCTTTGCCTCAGTTTCCAGTCTTTATGCTAAGCTGCTATGAGTTAGCCAATTGCAGGTTTATATAGCTTCATATTTGTTACAGACATGAGAGTGGTATTCATTTACTCTTTTCATTTAACTCTTAAGGAAACAAATATACACATTTTCAAAATGTCTTTTCCTTAAAGAGGATATTTTCACTGATATTTTGTATTATAATGAATATTTAGGTGTCAGTTCTTATAACAAATATTTTGTGGTGTGGAAATTAGGTTTTCTTTTGATTTATTAAAAAGCTTAATCTCAGTAATGTGTCAGCAAAAAGTACATTTCTCTACTCAAGCATGGCCATCTAGTTCCCATTATATTACAAACTGTACCGTTCCAGTTCAGACCTACAAGCTCACCTGCAGGCCGCACAAACAGTACAAAATACTGCCACCTTCCTAAAAAAACAAGTCCCAAGTCCCTCCCTCTGCTGGTTTTGGTATAATAATATCTTCAAGGCATTACTTCAAAGTGAACTCCTATATGAACAGCATATCTAATCTACAGGTTATCGATATGATGATCTTGAATACAGAACCAGCACCAGACGGAGGGACCCCAAAAACCATGTTTTAGAAACACTACTGTAGCACACCGATCATTGAAAAACATTGGGACTCTAATACACCACCGCACACTCATAGAAATAACCCAGTATGACAGCAAAATGGGAGCCACCCTGCCATATTTGTAAGGACTGAACGTGTGTTGTTCATCTTCCATTTCAACATTTTGAAAGTGATTTGTAACACAACATATGACCACCTGTGTGTATGCTGCAGCCACCGATAAAGCTGTGAGAACAAAACCATTTCAGTAGGCAGAGATATGCATGTTCAGTATGTTTGAAGCAGAAACCAACAGTAAAATAATTACCTGCATTTAACTTTTGGGCTGTTGTGAGTATGTCAACATCATCCTCCTCATCGCTATAGGCAACAGTCCATTCAAGTCCAAGGTAATCGTCAGGCACTAAGACCCTTTAGGCTGTACATATTTAAGAAAAACATCCCCGGGCTAACACTAACACACCCATGATTGCTGCACTGATGTTAGTGTAGAGCAGAGACCTGGAGCAGGACTTTGTAGGGCAACCCCGCAGGGACAGTGAGGATATCCGGGACAGACTCAAAGCAGCTTTACAAACATTAATGGGATGCTCTCAGGAGCTCTGGAGGAGCTCTGAAGGGAGGGACTGTTTCTTCAGGGTCATTTCAAACTCTCAGTCTTTCAGTGGGGTGGTGACACAGGCTCTGCTCCCAGGGAACTGCGGGTAAGGGTGAACAGGAAGTGGTTGAAAGAGAAGAATCAAAGCCACATGGCCACTGGATGACTTCCCCTTGCTTTCTCCACCTATACAAATCTATGTCTAATCTCCCACTCCATCTCAACCTCTTCCTGTCTACCTGTCCCTCTCTGTATGTCTGTTTACTCACATCCATGACAACTAAATTTGAAACAAAGAGCCTGAGGGATTTATCAGTGTGGACAAATGGCTCATCATGATCTCACCTCCTTTCTCAAATCAGAGAAACAGGAAATTGCCTTGAAACAAAAACAAACCAAACAATGGGCGATCCAGTGATTTGGACCGTTTTCATCACCAGCTGAACGTCCCACATCACCTCCAACTTTCTGCATCTCATCCAATTCCGATAATACACGACTGAACCCTGCCCTGGGTGGTTTAGTAGAAAGAGTACTGGTTCTCCACAGCTCGGGCCCTTCTAGTCCCATCAGCGTCATGGTAGTCCTCAGATGCACCACTAGAGGCCTCCAGCAGGCGCTCAGAGCTGTTGCTCCGGCTCTGTAACCCTCCTCCTACTCCTCCTCCAGTACCTGGGTCACTGCGGGAGAGGGAGGGAAGGGTGGTGGGTGAGGAGGAGGTGCTCGAGGAGAGCGGGGCATCAGAGGGAGGCCCCGCAGGCGCTGTGATCCCAGGAGGGTGGAGGGCTGGCTGGGCTGAATCTGTCCGGCAGCCTGCATCCCTGGGCGGGGTGAGGACTGGAGGCACGGTCACATCTGGAGCAGATTGTGGGGAAGAAGACAGAAATCTTTTTGATAGATAGACACATTAATAATATAGATTAATGCGTTCTGCTGATAATTGTTTGTTGGCTTCCACTGGAGAGCTGGGAGCAAAAAAGCTCCTTCATAGAGCAGCATGTAAACACAGGCAGTGTGGGCCTCCTTTATTATCCTTTCTCTTGGTGGGCAATAACACCGACAACACTGGTGCCAAAGACACGCCTGACCAGTGTATCAATAAAGCCTTTTACGCCCTGAATCAAACCCTCACTCTATGTGCATGTGAGTGAGTGCATGAGTGTGTGTAGGTCCAGCATTTGAGGAAACAGAGGGCCTCTTTGTGACCACCAGGGTGGGTTGGGCCCAGAGTCTCGGCCTGCATGCAAAACTCCTGCGGTATAATCGCCCCCTCACTCTCCTGTACAGGAGGGCATTCATCCCATGCCAGCAGAGCGGAGGGCAGGAGCAGCGTTAGTATGGAGGACGAGGAGGGGAGGGGCAGGTTCAGCGAGTTTTAGCAAAGCTTCCTCCATCTGTAAGGACAAACCTCTGCTATCCATCAACATATCTAAAATTCTGCAAATTTCTTATCTTTCAACAATAATCTTTGGTGACCTGAGGAGCAACTGTCAAACTGACACACTTCCTTCTTGGAAATCACCAAATGTCTGCGACAAAGTTCTGCGAGTTATAAGCGACTGGATATGGAGAAACGAGGCAGTTACAAGATATTGGTAAATGCTAAAACCTAGCAAAACAGTAGCACATGCACAGTATAGCCTTAATATCAGTCACGTCCAGCTAATATCTCGCAAGTTTTTAAATATTTGATAACATTAGCCGTCACAAGATTCTGATCAAACCAGGCCAATTAAGTCTGTAAATCTAAAGCAATGTAATGAGAGGCAGACTTAGATATATACTGTATATCTGCTGATATTAGCTTATTGTGTCAGTGTAACAAGTAAAATGAAATTACAGAATAGAAATGCAAAAGATATGTTTAAGGAGATCAGGAAACAGTGTCTCCATTATATAGTTTGTCCACCGAGAGTACTAACATGTTTGTTTTTCAGCTGCAAAATTTCCCACACCAAAAAAAAAGAAAAGTTTGTTCTTTGTTGTTTATGTCAAAACTGACAAATCTTATCTTTCTATTTAACAGTCAAATATCAAAAATCCAGGATCAGCTGGGTTATAGTTATTGATGTAAACTCAATTGAAATATTGTAAATAAATAAATAAATAAATAAATTCACAGCAGACATTTTGACTTCTCATAGTATAAAAACCACAACATTAACAAGGGTTCAGTAAGATATAAGACTGTGACAGGGATCCATTATGAACAACAGCAGGACCCTGAAACTGAAGCAGCTAAACAGAATGCAGCCATTTTATTAGTGTGTGGGTGTGTACAGATTGTGCTTGACTGACATCCTCCTCACTCTCCTTTGATGAAGTCAGGTAGTTTCCTGGATAGCTCCAACAACCTGAGCAGAGGTCTAATCTGACAGAATATTTAAAAAAAAACATTTGTATCAGTGTGCATGACCTTTAACTCAGTCCAAATGGTTGACCTCTCCAGCCCGCTATTATCAAAGCACTAATTAAGCATCTTATTAGGATCTGGGAAAGTGCCGAGCAGTATGAACGACTTTAAGTTTATATGTGATGTGTGAGCAGTTTTAAGTTTTGGGGTTGTGTACCTGTAGCGGAGCTTCGCTGCACTTGTACATAGGAGCGTAATGTGATGTCAGCCGAGCCTCCGGATTCGAGCGGGATGGGGTGGGCGTGGAAGTGTCTCAACATGTCCGACACAGTGTGAAACCACAAGTGGTGGACGTGGCACTGCCCGTTCTCATTCACCGACAAGCGCAAATGCTGGGAGGGAGAAGGAGGGGAGAGTGGAAAGCGACAGGGGAGAGAATAGTTTGGGATTCAAAGGAATGAGGGAAAGGTAGATGGTAAAAGAGAGGGTAGGGATGAACGAGAGAAAAACAAACAGAGAGAAAATTGCAGTGTGAGAACAGTGAACATCTGATGCAGACAGACCAAGACAGAGGTCAGGACATTATCTGAGAGGCGTCTCGCTGTGGGAACAGAGCGACAAGAATGCCAAGGCTGACACCAGAGGAAGAGGCGGCAGCTGACACTTCCTCAACACCGCCGGCTGGCAGGATGCGATGCGCAGGGATCATGTTACATAAGAGAACACAAAACATTGACATTACTGCATCTTTGCCAGGGCCAGAACAACTTGGTCTTGCTGTGAGCTGCAGTGACTGCATCCCAAATGTCAAGAGAACAAGCCTGAGTGAATTTAACACTACTGCAGAGCAAGACTGCAGCTGCGAGGAGACATTAATGTATTCTAGTGCAGAAACAACAAGTTGTTTCATTATTTCAAGAACACACAATTCATCAGTGGCAATTTTTATAACAGATTACTTATTTCAAATCTTTTATTGAGTCAAGCATTTCTGTTTCTAGCTTCTCATCTGTCAGAGTGTCACCTGTTGGATTTTTGTAAATTTTTGTTGTTATGTTCAGACAAAATAAGTAAATTGAAAACACAACTTTTGACTCTGAGAACTTGTAATGGGCATTTGACATTTGAATATATAAACCAATATATATATATATACATATAAATGAATATATAAACATGAATATATAAACAACAATAACATCTATACATTAACAAATAATCAAACCAATAGTTGCATCACTACATCATGTATACAACACACTAACAACTCCCTCTCTCTGAGTTAACTTACACATAGCATAATGCTGTGTCTCATCTCTCTTAATCATCTCACCTTGGCTTTGCCCTGGAAGTTGAAGGTGAGGACGTACTCGCCCGGCCGTGTCTCGCTCTGACGAATCACAAATAGCCCGTGGCTCCTGGCCCCGCCTGCAAGCACCAGCTGAGCCGCACGCACGCGAGACAGTGTACCATGGAACCATGGGTAACCCGCCAAGCTGGCATCGCCATCTGAGTCTTTCGCTCCTTCACTGCCACCTGAAAAGAGTCACACACACATCCATGTTTTTATTTTCATGTTTATGGACATTCACCAGGTTGGATATTGATTATCTGGAGAGAAAAGCAAATGTATGTGTTATCACCTGCAGAGGAGTTGGAGCCCTGGGCCTCTGGGGACTGGAGGAAGCGCTCTAAAGGCATGTGAGATGGGTGCTGGGTGAAGGGGGGTTCCCTGCAACGGACTGAGGGAGCGCTGTAATGCTCTGCTGCCGTAGGACATGACCTCTCTGGAGCACGATACACACCTTAACATTTTTTTATACATTAACACACTCATCCGGATCAAAACATCTGATTGTTACGTAACAGTGGATGCTGCAAAAGGAAAATGACAAAGAGTCTCTGCTCACCCTCAGACAGCAGCTCACAGCTGCAGGAGGCCACCATGGAGCAGTCTTTGGAGGCCTGGCCATGAGGACACGACGCCAGCTCAATGTCATCGCCGCTGTCACTGCACACAAGCAGGCGGGTCAGGAGAACCGCAAGAACGTAACACACAACTCTACACACATCCTCGTCCAACAAACATGGACACAAATAATCCCTCTGTTTACGTCCCGAGCTGCACTGACTAACATCCACTAACCCAGGCGACTGGGGAGGAATGTTAGTGGTACAAGCTCGCCCATGTTTGTGCTCAAGCAACCTGTCAAAAACTCCGCTCATTTCATGATTAATGACTGTGTGTGTTACTCCACCCCCCCACCCCCCCTACCCCCCTTCATCCTTCCCATCCACACTTTCCCCCTCTCTCCATCTTCAACCAACAGCAAATATTTATCTGGTGGTTTACCCCGGGTCTGTGCAGTCCTGGATGTCAGCAACCCAGGAGTTTTTCTGCAGCGAGTCGATGGTTTCCAGGATGTACTCTCCCCCGTTTTCCACCTGTGGAAGCAGCCAAACACTGCGATCACACACTCAGCTCTGTTCGAGGGACCACATCAGGGCACAGAACAGGGCAAATCCAGTGTTAACTCAGCAAGGGTGTGGGCTAGCTCATTTTCAAGCAAACTTTTTTTTCATAAGACTGTTACTAAGTTGTCTTCTATACTGTGAAAATTAGGTATACCCATCAAGCATTTCCACAAATGCAGGCGCAGTTGTGTAAATGTAACTGTAAGTTTGTGCAGCTTCTACCTTAAGAACAAAGGTGTTGTCCTTGTCGGGCATCTCCAGCGGCATGGTGGTCCTCACCTCCACGATGGCTGACAGAGGGATGCTGACCTTGGGCTTTGAGGACTTCAGGCAACATGCAAACAAACATAAGAGCTCATATTAACCACAGTGTGAGTTCTTTACATGATGTGATAACCAGCACGTTATCAGGGGAGCATTCACGACTGTAAAATGTTGCACTTTATATCATTGGTTCCCAGCAGGTCAGTTGGGACTCTCACAACGTCCTCAGATAAATGCTGCCACACCACAGTATGTTTATGTGTTATTTTTCTCTAATGTTTGAACTGTGTGGTAAGAAAAAGAGTAGTGCTACTGTAATACTACACTCTAGTTTTGCTTCAAATGGCCTCTAAAAATGAATCAAATTAAATTGTTCAAGGAGGGAATCTCTTGGTTTGAACTGGAGTCAGAGGTAGCGCCAAAAACATTGCAAACCTTTATTTTAGATGACTTTAGACAATAAACATGAATGTGCTGCCTGGTGCTTGCAGATCACAGTGGACTGAAAAACAACACAATGTTGTTAATATGGTAACAACATTGTTTTTATAATTCATGCTCAAGAAAACAAAAAAAAATGCAAAAAATCCACCCTCTGGGTGGCATCACTAAATTAAATCCTTCTGGAGGCAACTGCACCACTTGTAAAAGTAGAAACGTTATATTTTGCTACAAAAAAAGCCCTACATAGAGTTTTAAGTAAGTGGTACAGATTTAAATACTACCTCTTTTTATTTAGTATGTTTTTATTGTGCAACGCACCCAACTTCTCCCAAACCTCAACCTTCTCCTTCACACATGATAATTAAGGGGCAATGTGCAGTCTGAATTACTGGTACAGTCTTAGCAGTAATGAACTACACCTCCTGTCTCCTGAGTTTAAATAACCCATTCCAATAAAATAAGGCCAACATTAAAAGAGCAGGGAAGAGTTTCAAGATTGCACACTTCTGCAAAAATAACTCCACAGCTCCGTTTTCATGCAGTCTCTTATTTCTCACCAGGTTTCTCAGTGATTATTCCTGCTGAGTGACTAACAAACATAAAACACGAAGAGTTTACAAGAGGGTGAACACAGGAAACAACCTGGCCTCAGTTTGCCCTCTGCAGAGAGCTGGATCCAGGCCATCATCTTAACAGATTCAAAGAGTGTGTTTGAGGCGGAGAGCTGTGTGTGTGTGTGTGTGTGTGTTGTGTGTGTGTGTGTGTGTGTGTGTGTGTGTGTGTGTGTGTGTGTGTGTGTGTGTGTGTGTGTGTGTGTGTGTGTGTGTGTGTGTATACGTATTTATTTCTGTGTGTGTCAGGAGAGGCTGACTGATGGTCTGGCAGAGGCTTATCAGCTGATCTGTCTGGAGTAACACTGTTCTCATCTTGATCTGCCTGTGCAGCTGGCTGCCGTCCACACCCACGATGCTTTTCTCTCAATCAGATGTCAAAAACCACTTCCTTTATTAGACCATTTGACCATTTCCTGTACCTCTCTCCTACAAGCAGCACAAGCCCAATGTCAGTTTTTGGTTGATGCAAATCGGTATGAACTAGTGCACATGACAGTACTGTATGTTAGAAACACGTGAGTAGACAGTGTTGTCAGTGCTGTGAGCAAAAGGGTAAAGTCCATCTTCAGATATTCAATGTTAAGCATCAGTCTTTCTATTTTGTGGTGAGCTGTGTTTCTGATAAAAGCACACTGAGCAACATTAGCATTAATTTGAAGTCGAGTTTGTGTCCACCTGATGAATCTAAGTTTAATATTCAGTCTCCACCATGTTCTCCTCTGTCTCCTGTTTGGAGCTGGACTGGTAGTGTAGAGTGGGTTTTTAGAGCTTTAGAATAGTTGGGTGATAATTTTCTGTTTTAATCACTACAAGTGACCCTTTTCACATTACATACCATATCTGATCTATTGTTGATATGAAAATATTGATTAGTGCAGCTTTCAATTTGAATTTTCAGTGCAAATGAGCTAGAAATCTTTTCTCAGGCAACATTTGAAACTTTCTTTTTCTTTTATCTTGCAGTTGCTGCTCCAAAATTATGGAACCAGTTGCCATTAGATATCAGATGTGCTCCCCCCATCTATAATTTTGAATCTAGGCTAAAGACACATTTTTATTCACTGGCCTTTTTAGCTTGCTGACCTTTAAGTTCGTTGTCATGTTCATAATTGTGTATTTGCTCCTCGTTATTTTGTCCTTTGTACAGCACTTTGGTCAGCTCAAGCTGTGTCTCAATGTGCTCTAGAAATAAAGTTGACTTGACTTGACTTAACTTATAAATACATGTAACACTCAGGATTATCAAAACATCCACAGGAATGGATGGTAATTTTGGAAAATTATTAAAACATAACGACAAACAGCAAAAGCAGACATATCTTTTTGCATCTTTAGGAAAATTTAACATATTTTTCCTCGCAGCTGTTTACTTAAAGCTATCTGATGTTATATTTAGGATAACAAACAATGCATGCACGCTACTTTGTTTGGCGTGAACCTGAGAGTGGGTCGTCTCGGGGGGCCTGCTGCTGTGTCATAATGCAGGCAGTTAGCATGCTGCAGTGTGCTGTCTCTGCCACACAGAGCAGCCGGCAGATTGATGACCCTGACAGGGACGTAGCCAGAGCCAGTCAGCCAGGAGCAGGCAGGAGTGAGATTTTATGAGTCAGTTTATCTTTCCGACACTGTTGACTCTGCACTGTTATGATTTGTAAGATCTGAATAGCGCGGCAGTGATAAAACAACTCAGAGAGTGTCTGCGGGCCAGGCCTGTCGAGATGTGTGTTTAATTAATGTGTCATCAAGGATGTAACTGTTGCTCTGGAGCCTCTCATAATCTCAGCCTGGTCCATTGCTGCTAATAATTTTTCCCACGTGTGGATGTTTACAGAACACAACAGATGAAACGGCTGTAGCACAATTATTAAGTTTCATTTCATATGTTCCCCTTGTGGCTCTCACTGAGTAATTGACTATTTTGGTTCCTTTTTTCAGTTTGTCATTGCAGCCAAAGGTCAATACTTGTTTTTTGCACATGAAAGAAAACTTTGTGATCCCTTACTCTTACAGAAATCAATGCAACAGCTTCCTCTCTCTCTCTCTCTCTCTCTCTCTCTCTCTCTCACACACAATCTCTGGTGTTCTCAAGCAGCTCCTTCCCCCCTCCTCCCACATCTGCCTCCCACCTCTCCATACCCCTCTCCCCCGTCTCCGCACTCTTATCCCCACATTCCCACCAGCCATGATCAAAGGACAGTGGCAGATTTACACACACTCAGCTGCACAGCCTCACAGCCCTCTTAAGGTCAGGGGCAATGATCTGGAAATCCCATACAGACAAATGTGAAGTGTGCATGCATGCACGTGTGTGTGTGTGTGTGTGTGTGTGTGTGTGTGTGTGTGTGTGTGTGTGTGTGTGTGTGTGTGTGTGTGTGTGTGTGTGTGGTTCGACTTTAGGCTGTGTCACTCAGCATCAGAGGGGCTGGATTATCAGGCTGAATTGATATGTGGGATCCACGTAGGGATGCAACTAATGATTTTTTTTCATTATTGATTCATGTGCCAATTCTTGTTTCAACTCCGCTTCAAGTCTAATCTTCAAGTAAACATGTCTTGAAGAATTGGAAATGTGCTTGTCCTCCTGCTTTTAAGTAGCTGAACAAAATGACTTCTTCACTAAACCTTGAAAAACTATTTGCTATTATTTGCTATGGCAGACCTGGCTATGGTGAAAAGTTGATGACGACATGGACATGGGCAGTAAGAACTGTGAAAAACCGCTGACTGGCCTGCATCTTATTTTTTTCTGAAAAGTCATTGGGAAACGTTAATAATTTGATCATTTTCTCTTTGATCATTGTTTATTTAAATTTTTGTGGCGTTTTATGGATGGGTGGAAAGATCTAATGTGTGATGCGCTGGATGTAAAAACTTTGAACATCTTTGAGCTTTGTGCTGTTGATCAGATAAAACAAGCAACTGGCGTTCTGGGAAATTAAAGTCTTTGTTGTCAAAACAATTAAATGATCAACAAAGAAAGTAATCAACAGACTGACTGATAATGAAAATACTTGTTAGTTCCTGCCCTAAATTAATTAATTATTGATTAATTAATTAATCAATTAATTAATCATTTTGGTAGTTTGTTCATTCACTCTCTCAATAAGTTGTTGTGCCCAGCTGTTCCTCTATGTCTGTGTGTGTTTGTGTACCTTGGGTGGTACGTAAAACTCCAGCAGGAACCTCTCCCCTCCTTCCTCCCTCTTCGTCTTCCTCAGCAGCAGGCGGCACTTCTGCCACTGTGCAGCGCCCATACAGTTAGTGTCATCAGCCACCATGTACCTCAGCGCTCCCTCCCTTTGGATTTCCAGCAGCTCAGCCTTGTGGCCCTGGGAACCCCTGGGAAGCCGCAGCTTTTGGGACCACTTCTCTCCCCCTGCAGCCTCCCCCCCTCCTCCTCCTCCTCCTCCCCCTCCTCCTCCTCCTCCTCCTGCCCCGTTAACCTTCCTGGCTCCAGAGGGAGCGTCAGGCTCAGGGGAGGCCCGTCGGTGCCACATCTCCTTCACCCCGTCCACCACACACAGGCTCATGTTCCTCAAAGAGAAACCCTTCTTGAAGCGAGCCTTTGGGTGACTGACCGACACGTCCTCTGAGCTGCGGGACTGTCCCAGAGCAGACACCTTGTGGGTCGGCTGGGGGCCTCGGGAGGAAGTGGTGCCACTGCCGCCCCCATCTATCCCTCCCCCTCCACTGTCCATACTGTCCAGGGATTCACTTGAAGCCCCGGCGTCTTTGCGTCTCTGGTAAAGGTCGTGACCGTAGGACAGTGGGAAGCCTTGGATTCCCAGGAAAGGAACAATGCTGTACTTGGGTGCCGCGTTGGAGCCGTCTTCCGGCGAGGACGCCTGGTTCTCGCGGGCCTGGGTCAGCGCTGCAGAAAAGCACTCCAGGAAGTGGTGGGCAAAATGCTGTGAGAAGCTAGCATCTGCACCGGGCGAGTTGTAGCACGGGTTCTCTGACAGGAAGCGCTGGAACTTGTCAGCGAAGTCTGCAGCGGAGGCTCGAGCATGGAGCTCACAGAACTCTCGCCAGTCAGGCAGTGGGCACGAGGAGGAGAGCTCCGGGCTACCGGGCACCACCGCTCCGTTCATCACTGGGCCATGCCAACCCACCGAGGAGAGGCTGGAGAGGAGGAAGAAGAGCACAGTGGCATTAGTGTGTATTTGCACACAGCCTGCATGTGTGATGGTGCAAAGAATAAAAGATGATGTGATTGAAACAGACTTTGAACTTTCTGTCATTATAATATTTACATCATGGTGAAAAACAACAAATACAATACTTTAAGGTTTTATTTATGGAGTTTTTAAATCACTAGATTTGGAGATACATATATTTCAGTGGATCAACTCTTCACAGGAGATAATGAATCTTATATTTATTTAATGGCCTAAAAGTATTAAAAAAAACTAAAGAGAGAACACAAACCCCCCAAATTCTCCTAAAAGTTCTGACACCATGGCCTCGGTGTCCTCAGTGGCAGCTACAGCTCTGGTGAAAACAAGCACAAGCAACATCCTACTTCACTTTGGTGGGAATTTATTCCCTTAGAAGAGTCCAAACTCTCTGACAGCTCAAGATTATGCGCAGGATTGGCATGTCATTGAAGGTTTGATATAAAATGACTCATCAACAGATTCAATGTGACAACAGATCAGAAAGAAATCATGCAGAAGTTTCCAAATGATGGTTTCTGACAAGCACTGATAAGATTATCTGAATTATCTGTCAGAGCAGGTTACCAGCAACTTGGATTAAACACAAACTGATTGTACGGCTCTAATTTACTGTTGTTTTTCTAAATAATTAATATTTACTGTATTTAAGGCCACAGTTGCGCTTGTCCATTCATCCTTTCATTCCTCTGCTCTGTCCACAGCATGTGTGTGTGTGTGTGTGTGTGTGTGTGTGTGTGTGTGTGTGTGTGTGTGTGTGTGTGTGTGTGTGTGTGTGCGTGTGTGTGTTTGCATGACTCAGCTCTGCCTCCCTCTCTTGGCCTGAGCAGTGCCAAACCACATCACATCACCGATAAAACTCTTTGCACTCTGGTCTGCCACAGAGTCAGTAGCAACCATCCAGCCAGTTTTCACACACGCCCCATTCCTCCGACCCGCCACCTCCCACCCCTGTCTCACTCCCCATCTCTCTGCCTCTGCACATCAGTGACTAATACAGCATCAGTGAATAGCATCAAACAATCAAAAACATGTTGGTTTGATTATTGTTGTCTGTAAATCACCCAGATAAAAGGATCTCGTGTGAGGGGGCAGGCTGGGCGACATACGCACAGGGACGGCCAACACTCCCTCAAGCTGTGAAAGCTTATTCTCAGAGCTGCTGGGCTTCTCTTGGCAGTTCACTCACAATATGCGCTTGAATGTTTGCTTTCCGAAATTGCACTCTTAAACCAAATTACGCATACTTGCATGCATTCGCACTGCAGAGTTTCCTGGAATCTCTCCTGCAAGCAGCTTTATTGTCATTTTCAAAAAGCATCAGTGTGGGTTGTCTTTTCATAAAGGATTAGCGCAAAAAAACTCTCCACTAGAATTAAGTCTGACACACACATTCAACTACAAGCCACTCTCTCTCTCGTTCCCTCTTCCTTTCCCTCTCCCACAGATCTGAAACAAACAATATGCCAGATTAGAGAGAGGATATGATAAGGGAAAGTACACAGGAGTGCCAGCTCTTTGAAGGACCATCGCTGAGCTCATCCCTCAGAGAAAGAGAGAGAAACTCTTGGATGCTGAGACCTGGTGTCAGAATTTCAGAGGAATGCTATGATGGATAGAGACACCAGAAAGTAAAGGAAAGGCTGGGATTAGAGAATAATATATCTGCACGGATGTCCCATAGGAACCTCAAGTACAATACTATGACCATTTAGCTTCATTTAACTTCTTTACTTCATATGGTGTGTGGAAGCGAGTGGATGGAGGGGGGGGGACTCTTTCATAGCCCGTCATCAGGTGACAGCAAGACACGTTACAGACGCGCGGCGCAGAGAGGTGACGGAGAGGTTTGATTTTTTGTCCACTGTGAAGGCAAATAAAAGTCAGTATCTGAATCTCAGAAGCATCTGAAAACATAATTACAAAGTTTAAATGCCACCAACTTCATGGCACTGAAATATTTTTACTTTGAACACCATCCATCTGAAGTTATGGGATTGGAATTATTTTGGGTAATTTAAAGATGGTATCAAGTTGTGGTATTTCAGGTGGTATTAATTCAGTGGTATTTAAAATTCAGTGTAGAGATTAGATTTAACAATTAGGTATTCTGTTGCTTATGACAGTCAAATTATTAGGGTCCCTTTTTGCTTCCATAGCTCACTTATCTTGTGGAAAAGAGCAGCAGAGCATCTGGACCCAATATCTATTTATTAATAACTTAGTATTTATAACCTTCATTAATGACCTAACATTTATAACTGCAGATTTTATGGCTTATTAGAAAGTGCATTTGTGAATGGATTACCAACATTTATAGCTGCTTTATTACCAAATAGGAAGTTAAAAACACCAGCTAAAGGCATTTTCACCACCTGGCAACCTAGATCTGTTCCCAAGCGGTTTATAATCGATCAATAAAGCATTAGAAAATGTTTTAAAAACCATTAATAAAGCTGTTAGTTACAGCTTAAAAACATTTTACAAAGAGTGCCGTATTAGAAAGTGGTACCAATTTGATTAATGTGTGGAACTAAAGGTAAAATCACTTTACACTTTCATTCAAGAATCCATCACTTTCATTCATCCAAACATCGATCCATTCATTCCTTCAAGCCACACGAGATAAACTGCTAATCACAAAGTGTTGTTTTAATAATTATCTCGCTCCCCCTGTAAGTGTGTGTGTGTGTGTGTGTGTGTGTGTGTGTGTGTGTGTGTGTGTGTGTGTGTGTGTGTGTGTGTTGTGCTGCTGGCTGCGAGGAAGTCAATACCCATTCAGCTATTTAAAACCCTGCACTGGGCCAACTTTCCACTCATTCAGCAGAAAAACAACAGCACACAGGGAGGTGCACTTCTCAAACTCCTGTCCTTCCGCAAAGATGAGGATGTGCCTCTCTCAAGGATACTGAACTGACTGTACACCGCACCCACACACTCACGCACACAGATACACACACATTCACATTCACATTCACTCACCGCGTCAGCATGAAACTCAAGCCATGAGATGGTGGAGGAAGTGGACAGCATTAGGGTTTTCTGAGGCTCAGCAGACTGAAGCAGACTACATACTGCAAAGCACACTGGGGTATGGACTAAAAGTGATTGGCAGAGACAGCGAAAACACAACTTCTGTGCGGGGGATGAATGAAAGAGGGAGCGACGGAGGAGAGAATTGGGTGGGGGGAGGGGGACTCTATGTACTGTACTTAAGTACTATTTTGAAGTACTTGTATTCAATTTTATGCCACATTGTACTTCTGCTCCGCTACATTTCAGAGTAAAACATTGTACTTTTTACTACCAATTCATTTGACAGCTGTACATACTTTTTTTTACTTTTACTTTACATTTAAATAAAGAGATATAATAAGCTTAGAAAATGCAACACACTTATAATAAAAGCTGCATCTGGCTGTAAATATTCTACTAATTTGCCACTAACAGTAAATATGTTTTGAAGGAATGCTTTCTATTCACAAAATGCTTCTTATACTTTAAACCTGAAAACCTGATTTTTTTGGCAACTTAGTGGTTGATATAGTGAACTTGTCAGCATTATTGTCAGCTTATTTACACAACCAGCAGATATTCAAGCAACATTATTGTTCATTTGGACTTGTGTCCTGACTTTTAGCTCTGTTTTTGGTCTCTACCAACTCCTGAAGGACATATCTGGCTCTTTAGCTGCTAAATGCTCCATTATGTTCACCAGCTGGTCGCTAACTGTGTACGCCTGATGTTTGGTGCTGAGTAGGTAGTTTACTGTGGGGTTTTAGGGCTGAAAACAGCTGTAAAGTTGAGGCTTGACAGCTAAACAATGAGCTGAAACTCATAGTAAAGCTCCATAAAGCCGAGGGGAGCTGCAGATTCAGGAACTGTAGTTTCATCACTACGATCAACCCCTTTCACATTGTCACAAAGTTTTCAAATTGTCATCTGATACAGTCTTATTATGAAAATAGCCGTTACAGGTGCGGTTAAATTTCAGTCTTAATACTTCTGTGCTTTTACTGAAGTGTGATTTGGAAGGAAGGACATTTACTTATAATGCAGTATTTTTATTCCTGCATTGGTACTTTTACTTAAGTAGAGGATCTGAGTACTTCTTCCACCACTGGAGGGGGGCATGTTTTTGCTCTATAAGCCAGCTGCTAAAACAATCAGTGAGTGTGTGGAGGTGGAGGAGACAAGGGGAGCATAAAGAAAGGGAGACACAGTGTAGGACGAGGGGAAGCAGAGGCACCACGTAGATTCTCACATCCCCCAACTCCCCTCAGTAAATTTTTTTTTTTTTTTTTTTGCTCCAGGTCCATCAAGGGAGTCGAGGGGAATATGAAATGTTTACCTCCATCCTTCAGGCCTCAGAAGTCTTTCTCCTTCCTGTCCCTATCTGTTGTAAAAATCTACCACTACTGTGCCCCCTCCTCCTCCCGCTGCTTCGTTTACCCAAGGGAGCAGGGCTGATATCTCTGTCAGATGGTTGGGAGTTCTCTCTGTGAGAGTAAACTGACCGGGGAGGAGAGGAAAGAGACATTACCGTGCAGGGAGAAGCCTGCAAAACACATCGTGCAAGATCCGTTCATTTCGTGTACTTTGCACGGCCCTCACAGGACTCAACTGTGCAGATCCGGGAATTACATGTGTCTGATTAATACTGTGGTGTTGTAGGTAGTAATATAGAGCCACTGAGGAAATGATATTCTGGCCAAGAAAAACGGATGTACAAGAATTTGTGTTTTTAAAACTGTGTGTACACATACTTTACCTCCGAGTACTTATAGAGATAAACACTGTACACACACACACACACACACACACACATGTTGCTGTGAGCGGTCTCATGCCAGCAGCACACCCTCAGTGACTGGCTGATGAGGATGATTGGTGATGTTGTGCTCCCACCCCAGGGAGTTTGGGCCCAGCCATGTTTTCTAAGATTAGCCCGCTCCACAGCACAGCACACAGCTGGCAGCACATTCAGTACAGTACAGCGCTGTACATACACATCTTCAACTCTACGTGAATCCATTAATTATGTGTTCTTATTTAAGATGTAAATACTGCATCAGTAAGATGTTGACTGAGGACATGTCAGGACATAAAGTCTTTCATGTTTGTGATACACACTGGATATAGATCAACTGAAAAACACAACACTGCTGTATTTATGTTGGGTACAGCATGTATAATAAGAACAGCTGAAATGATTAGTCAATGAATTTGTTAGTTGACCGTCAGAAAAATAATTTTTTATAACCAATTAATAGCTTAAGTGATTTAAAATAAGTTGTAAAATTGTCAAAAATCTCCTGACTGACAATCAGACAGTAATTGAAGTAATTTCAAGGTATTGCCTTGAGCTCAAAATGACAAAATGACCCAATTGTATTGAGTAAAGAAAATGAAGACTCCATTAACAGGATAGAAGCAGGTGACAGAGACCCAGATATCAGCATGAACTTGATGCCTGTTTTGTTTTGTTGCTCCACTGAACGAGGACAGAAACAACAGCAGACAGTGAAGCACACAGGAAGGAAAGTCCGACTGACAAAAACTGACTCACCTGAAGAAGTCAAAAGACAGATTATCACAGTAGACATCCAGGTGTGGGTGTGTGTGAAGACGCCAAGAAAGAAGCAAGGAAACTATGTAAACCAGCCACCCATCACTGAATAAAAAAGGATGATAGTAGTGGGAGGAAAAGCAGAGGAGATGTAGACACAAGATAAAAATCCCAGGAGGGAGAGAGACTGGAGATAAAGAGGCAGAATGAGCTGTTGTAGTAGGAGACAGGGCAGAAATAGGGGTCAGCAGTAACAGACCCCCACCCTCAACCACTTCCATCCACATTTTTTGTGATGTGTCCACTTCAGAGCAGCAGGTCAGTGACCTTTAACCCCTGCTCCGATAACCTTGTCCCTTCACTAATGTGGCTGAATGTCATCTGGAGAGTTTCTCTCAACATGACACAGGACCACCAGAGAGGAGAGACTGCAGGGCTGATGTCCACACAGACAGACATTCAGTCCTGATCCAGAAACTGACAACATCCCGCCGCACAAAGCTACCCGTGTGCGAGTGTGTGGACGCAGACAGATGCAGCCGGAGATAGCAAACCAGACATGAGAAGATGGAGGATAGGCATTCCTGATCGCCAAACTGTACCTGCACCCAAACAAACCGAGCTGTGCTCACCAGGCTGTGTGATGCTGCTGGTAGCAAGGCCTCATCACACAGATATTAAACACATTAATTAACGTGTCCTCTACCAGCAGGCTCTCCTCGCTCTCGCTCTCTCTCTTAGTTTCTCTGGCAAGCAGTGACAATGTAAATATTGAGTGAGCGCAGGCGTCCATATGGTAACCAGTGATAAAGGACGAAAGCGCGTGGGAGATGCACATACCGCCACTGACTTCCATTTCCTGTCTCTCACCCACCAGGTTCAACTAATTTCACAGATGACCACAGGACTCTCACAGAGACGTGTGTGTGTGAGCAGCAACTGTGTCATTTACTAGAATAGATGGGCTTTTAATTTGGTGTCACAGAGTGAAACTGATGTAAAAAAAAAAAAAAAAAAAAAATAGCCAGATGACGGCACCAACAGCAGAGTGAACGAGACAGAAAGTAAATCTCAACACAGGGCTGCATCTTTAACAACAGTTTTTCATTATCTTTTACAGTTATTCAATCAATTATTATGTATCTGATTATTAAATATAGCAGCAGTAAGCGAGAAAACATGCACAAGCTTTTTTTCATTCTTATTCAAGCTGTGCTTTCCTCAGATGCGCTTGTCCCATTTTCAGGAGACTTTCCTCAACATTTTCAGTCTTTAAAATTTCAGAAAACAGTGAAAGAAAAGAAAATTTACCAAAGCCCAAGATGAGGTCTCTTTAGGTTTTGTTATCCGACTAACAAAACCTAAAGATATTCAGTTTAGTATCTCATAAGACAAAGAAAAGCAGTAAATGCTCACAACTGTAGTTGCCGAAAGAGACATTTGAAAACATTAAACAAACACTGAAATGGTGGAGCAACGGAGCGTTTGGCATTTTAGTCATTTTTGCTTAAAAAAAGACTTTGATCATGCATCATAAAAACAGTTGCTCATTATTTTTCTGTTGATTGACTTAATGATCATAATTGTGAATCCTGTGCCCATTAAAAGTTCCCCGGGACCAAGCAGACAGCTTCAGATCACTTGTTTTATCTGACAAACAGTCAAAAGGCCAAAGTCATTTACAAACAAGACAAAAGCTGGTTTGGTTTCTATTGACAAATTGTTTCAGCACTACCTCTAGGAAGCACTAAATCCAATACTTTTGTAATAAATTATAACGAGCAGTTATTTTGTTTCAGCTCTGTAATAAATATTTGGTGAGTATTACATAGTTCACGTCTCACTGAGACTATTTGATTTGTTGATTCAGCTATGCAACAGGCATTTTTTTGAGCTGTGGTGGAGTACATGATATTATAAAGTGTTCTTGTTATTTTGTCCACTCCCTGCAGAATATATCAGTTCCATAGCCTAGCTTGTATGCATCTCTTGACTTTGGTCAACTGTGAAAAGCAAAACTTTTAGGGAGAATCTTTGTGAAATGTGATTTTACTTGAATATTTCAACAAAACAACATCCCTGTTGCAATATTATAGACTGTAGTGGTAGAAAAACGTTAAATATCTAGTACTTAATAAGAACCTCCCTTCAGTTAATTCATTATAAAATCACAGTATACATGCAATATGACCTCAGAGTAGTATTATCAGAATATGAGAGTGATGTAAAGACCTATATAATGGTGTTTGCAGGGTGTTTCTGTTATTCTGCCCACCCAATGCAAAACATATAGTCTAGCCTGGGTAGTGTAACATCACTTTGCTGGGGTTAGTTCTGAATAACCAAAGCTTCAGTCAAATTAAATCAAAGCAATCAGTGTAAAATTTCTAACAGAATATTAGACAGCTGAGGGAAATAAATACTATATAATAAACCCCTGCCTTCGATTAGATATAAAACCATAACATAGTGTCAGATGCAATGTGTCCTTATCGCAGTATAATCAAACCTACAGGATATGGCATTTCTATTTGTGGTGATGTTTTGGATTGTATTATACTGCCAGGTGTTCTTATTATTCTGTCCACCCCCTGCAGAGAATATCTACCTTTGAGCTTTGGTCAGAAATGAAAAGCTGAACTTTTAATGAATGTGCAATTTGATATTTAGAGGGATGCTGTTTAAATATCACAACAAAGCAACATCTGAATAAGAACATTATGTAAATGAGCTATAGAATGAGGAAAATAATGAGCCATTCCCTCTATAAAAGTATAAAATCACAACAGTGTCAGAGTAGTCTAGCCTCACAGGAGTATTATCAGAATATTATAGTGATGTAAACGCCAATATAACAACAGGGCTGTATGCCTATCCTGTTAAAATCATTCTTATTAGGCTTCATAACTGACTGTCTCGTGTAGCCTACAAAGAGATACATGAGAGGAAGTCAATAGCAGGCCTACAACAGGCCTACTGCGGGCCCGGAGAGCCTGTTTAATGCCAACAGTGGATCGTTATGCAGGCTGCGTATACTGGACTTCATGAATGGGAATCGGCAGCAGCCTCCTGCTGAATGGCTGACAGATCCAGGTCCAGAAAGAAGGCAATGAATGGGAGCCTGCGTGCGGAGTCACGAGCCGGTACCCTGATTTTGGGTCATCTCGAGCGGGCCTACACATCCCATAACATCCCATCAGATCACATCAGGCCCCCGAGCCGTCCTGTAACTGACCAGACTTTACTCCCTAAAGGCTATTAAATGGATTATCGGAAAAGCCCCTTTACACAGCGACACCCCCCACCCCCCACCCCCAAGTCCAGGAAGCCTCATCCACAGGGCTCTGTGCTCATCAGTCGACTGCACTTGTTCTCTACCATAAACCGATTCTTAACGCAGGATTCATCTCGGAGGCTGACTGTGGGGATGAAGCGGGTTTAACACCAAAACACAGAAGCCTCCTCTTCTCCTCCTCCTCCTCCTCCTCCTCCTCAGCACCAGGAGGTTTGTTGTTGTTATCCTCAATAAACCTCGATGCTGGTGCCTTTCTCTTCACATCATCATTAAAGGGCTCTGAAAAACATGTCTAATCACAGACGTCAGGATGTGTCCAGACGCGCTAAATAAGAAATAAAACGCAGCGGCGGCGGCGGCGGCGGCAGCGGCAGCTCTCACCTCAATACAGGACTGGTTTCATGACGCTGGTGTCTCTGGGACGAGCCTGGCTTTGCTGTGGAGATGTTCACTTCTCAGGATGTAACATGGTTTAATTCTCTCTTCATCTGCTGCTCCCCTCTCCGGTTTATACGAGAGCACAGCCGGTCAGCGCTCCCTCCATCTCTCCGCTCGACGCACTGTGCTGTTGCTGTACCTTCTGCTCTGCTGTCCACTCACCACTGACAAGCCAGAAGGAATAAGAAAACGTGCTACTTCCCGAGTTCAGCTTTCAGAATAAAAGCTGCTCAGCAAATCAGTGGCCTGTAAGCACTGTTTTAGATCCCTACAGTGAGCTGTTGTCAGCAGGGGGACCAGGGTTTCTAGTAGCAACAAGGCTGGATATCACTTCAGGTGACAACACATTTTGTCCTGAAGAGTGGTGCTGCATCAAAATATGACTTTAGGACCTATATTGTTTTAATTTTTGTGCTCACGTGATGCTTATCGCTACATATTTCTAAATGAATCTGTCTTTGATCAAATCACCACAAACTAGATGACACAAAAACCGTTGGGTCTAGGGATGTTGTTGCAGTAGCAGCCTAAATGAACCCAGTTTTCTGGGTCTTCATAATGACACTGCAGTATTCTTCTGTATGCACTGTGCTTGATGGGAACTTGAAGGAACAGATTACAGGCCTATTCAAAATGCAGAAGTAGCCTGCATTTTGTATGGCCTATTATTTTTTTATATTTGTAGGCTTACATCACAGTTACAGTTCCCTCTTACTTTCACAACCACATTGGTTTACGCCTTTATCTTTAAACATTCTTTTATCCATATACAGTATGTTAGACTGGTTTCAGTCGGTATGATATTTGAATACCTACCATTGTGCTATGAATTGTACAGCCTTAGCTAGCTGTCAGTTACCATTCAGTTTTTCATAAACAAATGACTCAAACCAGTTTTTTTTTCCTATTACTGCCATTGTTATGATTTCCTTTATGATATCTGACCTTTGCTGCCAATGAAGCTAATCAAATCTTATCTAATCATGGTTGAAAAATACATCTGAGAAACAGTCACACAGACTTTGGGCTTTTGAAACTACATCAGTACACATGGATACAGTGAACTGAAAATGCATTGTGGTCCAGATAAAGCAATCAGAAAAATCCTTTCGTTTCACAATTTTTTCCGCCCAATTTCCCAATACATGAGCCACTTTGATTGTGACTTTAAAGACTTTAATTTTGAAGGCACAGTCATGTACAGGCATGCTCTGTGTGTCTCAGGATGAATTGACCAGCTTCCTACACTGGGTGTGTGGGCGTGGGTGTGTGTGTGTGTGTCTCACTGATCTATTTAACAGCCACCATGACTGCCCTTAAAGGAGCCACGCCCTTTTATTGTTGCCATTACTCGCCACTGACACAATACAAGAGGTCCAGTGTGTGTGTGTGTGTGTAATGAAAGAATGAGAGAATATAAAAAAAAGAGAGCATTTAACCCCCCCCCACACACACACACACTTGACACAGCCAGATACACAGTGTACAGTGAAAAAAAACACACACACACACACACAGCAGTAGTACTGACCAGCCAACAGACAGACAGTGGAGGCTGCAGCTGGTCCAAACACACACACACACACACACACACACACACACACACACACACACACACACACACACACACACACACACACACACACACACACACACACG